TTGTTGTTGTTGTTGTTGTTGTTGTTGTTGTTGTTGTTGTTGTTGTTGTTGTTTCATTTTAGCAAACATTATCATGTCTTGCTCAATGAGTTAACAAAAAGTTGTTATGTAATCTGAAACACCACGAGGAGAGATCTAGAGGTCTCCTAATTCCTTCCGGGTGAGCCATTAGCTCAGTTGGTATCATGCTGGACTGCAGAGATGATGACTTTGGTTCGAATCACCAGCGCAGCAATCTGAACTTGAGTTATTTTGAAGAGTTTTTCAGACTCTTCGCCCATTTGGCTTGGTCCTGTAAGAGATTGACGTTAGATTCGGAGGTCCCATCTCTTAAATATATTATCACAGAGTTGAAAGTAACTTTAAACCTACACACGTTCACAATTGGTCGCTTTTAAGGACAAGCGGGCTAACCCAGATTTCGGGGGTTTCCAGAAATCTTCACTTACACTAAAGGTGGGCATTGCCCTACCTATAGGAGAAGTTTGGTTTCATTGGTGTGTATCTTTGTTTGGTTATAGAGAAAACGTTCCTTGTCTTTTAAAGAAACGGAACAAGGGGCAAAAACTGTTGCTTCGATTTTCTCAAAAACAGCGTTTTTCGGGATAGCCCCCTTGCTTCTTAAAAAGAACCACTTTTGAATTGTTTCAAATGTGCAAAGATGCAACCTATACAATTTTACAATAAAAGTTTTGAATCCTTAACCTGTTTGAAGTATGCAAAGATACAGACTTAACAGTTTCACAATTTTGAATCTTAACCATGCTCCCGTTCATCCGGCCTTGCCAAGATGATCTTGCGAGGCAGCGTCCAGGGAAAAAGGACCAGAGGCAGACGGAAGAAGAGTTGGGAGGACAACATCTAGGAATGGACAGGCCTGGAACTCAAAGACACGTTCAGGAAAGCTGAAGACCGGAAGGAGTGGAGGAAGCTGGTGGCCAAATCTTCAAAAGCGCCCCGACGGACATCCAGTCTACGGGATAGGTGAAGGCGAACCATGTTTGCAGTATGCAAAATACAACCTTTACAATTTCACAATTTTGAATCTTAACCATGTTTGAAGTATGCAAAGATGCAACCTATACTCTACACAACAATTTCACAATTTTGAGTCTTAACCATGTTTGACGTATACAAAGACACATCGTATACAATTTTACCATACTGAATCCTCAACTTACCATGTTTGAAGTATGCAAAGATTCCATGAGAAAACAAGGCTCCCTCGTTGTTGGTAAGTGAGACGAGAAAATTTTTGTTTAAAAACTTGGTTCTCTTCAAGAGCTCTTCGTCCCGGACCATCTCTGGGATAGCTGCCTCGAAATACTCGCCGTCAATCGCAACCTGTTGCCCATAATACACGGTTCCCGCTGCCAATTTGAACTTGTCCTCCGGAAGTGACCTCAGGCAGGTCAAGACCGCATCAATCTCTGCTTCCGAGAGCGTCCTCTCCATTGTTCTTTTGGATTCGGGAATTTCCGCAGGCCAGCACTCGGGGAGGAGCATGAGCAGCTGGTTCACAAGGATGTCTGATGAGCCTGGGGTGGACTGGCTGATGAAGTGACCACCGCTCATTAAGATCCCCTGTGAATATTTATGCAGAATAAAACGAATAGTGACCTCAAAATTACACCTCAAAATTACACCTGCTCGGTACCTAATTTTGATAAACTTGACGTCGAAAATGTCTAGTTTCACATTATCGCTACCTCAGAATTACGAAGTTTTATCTTCTCAGTACATAGTTTTGATAAATTTGACGTAAAAAATATATACTATCACAATAGGTCAAGCTTTTTCGGAGGCAAATATTTTCTTTGAATATCTGGATATTGACCGCGAATATTCTTACCATTAGGATAGAGCAGATAGAGCGTTTGCTTTCTGACATCATGGCCTCAGTAACTCAAAACGGTCAAAAACGCAAGATAGAACTTTGTAATTCAGAGGTAGCGATAGGACTACTGTATGAGATCACTTTAAACATACAGACCATCCACCCAGCCTTTACATTCACTGCGGACCACATTTTCTTACCCTCGTTGCTGAAAGGCTACCATGGCACAGTAAAAAGGGCCCCAGTGCAATCATGATAATTTTACTTCTTACCTGTTCAGAATATTGTCTGTGTTTCTGAGGCGCAATACGAGTGCCCCTTGGCACGATCGTTTCGGTTCTTTTCAGTTCGGTTTGCTTGCCAGATTGAGGAAAGGAATGATCGGTGCTTTAATATCAACTAAAAGTACTCTACAGGAATGGGGCAATAAATCTTGATATGCAAAAAATTATAAGGTCTAGATCTATACTCTCAAAACAAAATACGCCTCGCGAAATATCACTTCCGGATTTTTTAAAATTACAGAGACAGAAGCGTCGGCCGACAACAGCGATCGGCGAAATAAAGAAATTTAGCTTTTAGCAGCAAAACTGTCTCAAAACTGAAAAAAAAAACCCAAGGGCGTCATGCTCTGGAGAATATTTTAAAGAATCTTTTGGCGAAAACACATGTCGATCGATGGAGCCATTAAAAAGCCTTTTGAATAGCAAACCCACAAATAGATAATAGATAAAGTCGAATGGTGTGATCAAGTGTGAATCGGTTATTACGTCAAAGTGTACGATCTAGGGTTTATATTACAATTCAAGTCTATGGTCTGACGTAATGGTTGAGCTCTTTCTCCTCACTAGTGGTTGGCCTGTGCTCTGGTGTGGTTTTCTCCTTCTTTCCTATCAATCATCTATCGTCCTTATCTCCCGTCCTTCTTTTTTGTGCTTGTTACTCTCTTGTTTGTTTGTTTAGTATAGGGTTTTACGGCGCTCGCAACTGCATAAGGTCATATGAGCGCGCGGGACACACCTAATACTTTTTCGTTGGTAGGAAATTTTGAATTTTGCCCGGGTGGCGGCCGAAGCCTACTCTTATCGATTTTAGACCACCAAGGGATCTTTAACGTGCGCAACTTGCACACGGGCCCTCCGAGATTTTTCGCCCTTGTCCGAGAAGGCTAGGTGTAGATCTTTCCTACCAGAAGATCAGGGGTGTGGCAGAAAGACAGCAGTTAGGAGGAGCCAAGGAGTAGCAGTAGAAAGGCTGCAGAAAGAGTCAGGAGCCCAGAGGAGGGGGCAAAGGCGGTGAGGGGTGGGGGCTGAAAGTGGAAATGAAAGCAGACAACAGAACATTGTTAGAGATCAGGAAAAGATGTGAAAGGAGACAATTTTAGAGAAGAAAATGTTTTGGTCGCTACCCGGAATCGAACCCGGGACCTTTGAATGAGAGGCCAACACCTTAACCTCTAGGCCACGAGAGCCCCTGTTACTCTCTGTGGAGCACCTCTAATCTCCAGCACTTACGTTACCTTATCGTGTTGCGAGTGCCGTAAAACTCTTACGCTGCACAGTGGCGACCGACAGTGGCATTGTTTGCAAACTGTCCTGTATTTGTGCAATAGTGTGTATTTATGTATTTATTTCTGCATGTATGTATTTATGTATGTACGTATTTATAATTATGTATTTATGTATATGTATGTTTGCCATTGTAAAACAAAGTGCCCTTCTGGGACAAATAAAAGTGTAATTTATTATTATTATTATTATTATTATTATTATTATTATTATTATTATTATTATTATTATTATTATTATTATTGTTATTATTATTATTATTATTATTATTGTTATTATTATTATTACCCAAAAAAAGAAATAGAAAGTGGCGTGTCTTCGGGTCTTTGTACTCTAAGTGTGTTCTAACAAGTATCCCCGTGTTCACGCCAGGGTGTTCTATGACGTTATATCACAGTCATCTCGGGTCGGCCCTGGCAGGCATGGACGAAGCAGTCAGCCCTGAAGTGATCCACGTTGAGTTGATGGACGTATAGAATTGTTCAATCTTGACATCCAACATTAACTGACCTTGTAGGTTGCGATCCCAGTCAGCATTCGCTAAAAATTGGGAGTGGCATTAGCTCAGTGGGTATCATGCAGGACCAGGAGCAGACGGCTAGTAGTAGTAGTAGTAGTAGTAGTAGTAGTAGTAGTAGTAGTAGTAGTAGTAGTAGTAGTAGTAGTAGTTGTAGTAGTAGTAGTGTCAAACCTGTGTAAGACGGCCACCCATTGTCAAGGAGAAAAATGGCCGTATAAGACAGATGGCCGTCTCAGGCAGGACTGATCAAGATGAAGAAAACAAACCCCATTCCCAATCAAAAGTAGCCGCATTATTGTTGTTGTTGTTGTTGTTGTTGTTGGTTTGTATTTTGTTAGTTATTTTTATTGTGTGGCTGATTTTGGGCAAGGGTGACAATAAAACGAAATGTGTCAGACAGGGAGGACCGAGTGCTATAGAAAAAAAACACACATGGGTCGCTACCACTCGAAGAACGAGCGAAGCTCCTGTCACAAGTTCATGTTGACGCCCATTGTTACTTTGTTACAGACTGGGTAAACAGTGACCACTCATCTCACTTACGATTTGTGTATGAGTTCTGGGAGGGGCTTATGGGTTGTGAGGGATCACACGCTCCCTCACCAGCAGCTGGAAATTGGTACCTATTGGTCAACAGTGGGAGGGGCCTACGCAACATGATCGGTTGGAGGGACTACCTAACAACAACGACAGGTGATGAGATTATGACTGCTCGCCCACAACGCCAGGGGCCAGTGCACAATTTATGACAAAACGTAATGGAGTAGCTAAGGTGGCCGTCTAAGACAGGTGTTATTGCTTAGTGTGATAGGGGTTGTGTGTTAAAACAACAACGCGGCCGCGTTGGACAGGTGCCCGTTTTACACAGTTAAATTATATTTTAAAAACCTCAAGGGGGGAAATGGAAAGTGGTCGTTTGTACAGGTGGCCATCTTATAGAGGTGGCCGTCAGGGCAGGTTCGACTGTAGTAGTAGTAGTAGTAGTAGTAGTAGTAGCAGTAGTAGTAGTAGTAGTAGTAGTAGTAGTAGTAGTAGTAGTAGTAGTAGTAGTAGTAGTTTTCCCTTAAGCTATTGCCCTCTCGAATATCCCTTCACTGTACCAGCAGAGTCTCTGGTACCACCACAGTCTCCTGTACCACCGTACCTGAGAGAAGAGCGAGGCAGTCTCGGGTACAACACACAGCAGCGACACACTGTCCGCCCCAGACGACTCGCCGGCCACTGTGACGTCAGACGGGTCACCGCCGAACGCCGCGATGTTGTCGTGGACCCAGCGAAGGGCCATAACCTGGTCCTTGAACCCCTGGTTTCCCGCCAGGCCGCTGTTGTTCCCCTTTAGACAGCCGAGCCACGCCAGGCGGTAGTTGATGGTGACGACTATGATGTCCTCCTGGTGACAAGATGTTTGGTGAGTTTTTGAAATATTTTTTTACGGCATTTGCAACACAAATAGGCCATGAAAGGGTCGAGGATTTGATGTGTAACAAGAGAGTACTAAACAAAGGAGAGAAGGGGAGAGACCTATGCGTATGCAAAATATGTGTGAGAAATGAGAAATGCTGTGAACAATCTTATTTTCCGTGTGAGGGAGATTTATAGCATTTTACATAAATTTATGAAGAAAAGTTTTTTAATATAGCCTCAATTTTGGTGAAAAAAATCTAGATTAAGACAAATTGATACAAATTGCTGTACAAAATATGGGTGACACTGGTTCACCCGTTTAAAAAGATGTTTGAGGATAAATTGCGCCAGGAATTTTTGACGTCACTATTCTGGTGCTGACTCACCTTCGTGACCAGGGAGCCGGGGATGTTCTCGTTGGCAGCTCCCATGATGAGCGCGCCGCCGTGTATGTAGACCAAGACTTTCTTTGGTGTTGTCCACTGTGGAGGCGGGTCGGCGGTTGAGGAGTAGGAAAAGGGGGAAAGGGGAGGGTGGTAGGATTTAGAGTGGGGATGTTGAAATAAAGGTAGGCAGCAGGCAGCAGTGTGGGGGGGGGGGGGGGTAAGGGTTGGAGTTGTAAAAAACCCTTTCTTTCTTCTCTTGAATCACATTTAAATTTTTAAATTGTTTGCCAAAAAATCAGAACAGTTAACCCTCTTTAATACGCCCCCCCACCAAAAAAAAAAATCATCAGTCCCCCTTGCCTTCCAGCTGGTTTTGCCAACGTATGAAAAGAAACGTCTCTGTCTGAATATATAGTATTTGCAGCTTTTCACTATGGCAGTCATAAACTCACTCCAATCATGATCTCTGAAAAGGGGGGGGGGGGGGGTAAGACTTAATGCCCCAACGGATAGGGCATGAAATTGGAATGGGGGGGGGGGGTTGAGGGGAAGGAGGAGTTGGAGAGTTGGAGTTGGAGTTGGAGTTGGAGTAGGCGGGAGAATAGGTTGTGGAGTGGAAGGGGAAAAGGGAGGAGGGTAGATGGTGGAATTAAGGGGAGCGGGGCTAGAGGAGGCAAGAACAACAAAACTTTCTTCGATTCTCAACATTTGAACGTAAGTGATATTCAAAATTCCTAAGATCATGACAGAACCCTATTTACATTATTTTGAACGTAAGAATCTGTAAAATCGAAAGTTTCTATCGCTGTATAATATATCGCTATAAAATACTCCAGTATTGAGCCATTGGTTTCCTATTTCACTTTTTTAAATGCCTTCACTCTTGGTTCATAAAGTTGCATAGATACAAGCAAACAAGAATCTCTAAAGCGTTCCTGACACTTTGTGTCGCTATAAAAGGAGACTAAACATTTTAGAAGGAATTACACACCCAATGTATGTGTGTTCAGATTTTAAACACAACAATTTGTATTTGTGCATTCTCAAGCCACCTGGCCTCTCTTTGTTTAAAAAGTCATTGTATAAACGAGACACATTTTAGAGGAATGATGTGAACGATTTTACATTATTGTTTAATGTTGAAATTCTATAGTTTCCACCTATGTTTTGCTTTTTTTTATCTTCGAGTCTACAACAATGGTACCTTATACATGTGTACTGATAGACATGATGATCTAAGCTCTAAGCCCCAGGTCGTCGAGCTAAAGGCGTGGAAGCAGCTCGTAATAATATAGTTTGCCTCATGATTACCCTTCAAAATCAAAAGTGAGGCAGCGTGGTGGAATCAGGCTCTCGTCAAAATAATCAAAGTGAAGAAACTTGCTTTTTTCGCAATTTTGTGAATTTTTACAAAAATTTTGTTTTTTGGCTAAACACCTTACATGCCCTTTGAAGAACTCATTTCTGTGTGGATGTTTTTGAAAAACGTCGATTAAAGGCACAAAAAAGGTAAATTTTCAGTTACCACAGACTCTTAAGCTAAGGAAATAACTACTCTTTGGCGGCCATTTTCTCACTAATTTTACCTCTGAAAACAGGTGACCCCCATCTCCTTCATTCGCAAATATCTCGACTTATATTAATGATAAATGGATATTTCTTTCATCCAAATAAAGACGAGTGAACAAGCTTTAAGATGATACCAATAACTCTACACGCCCAAAAATTGACGAGAGCCTGATTCCACCACGCTGTGATACTAAAGATAATTGTATGAGTTTGCATGCCAGAAACTTTACACCTCTTTCAAAACTGGAGATGATCAAAATATTGTTGACGCCTCCTCACATTTCTAACCTGTCACTTTTCTCAATTAACTAGAGGTCGTGTGCAGGGGTGCTTAAAGGGTTTTCCAACAACATGTTCTCAGAAAGACACTTACAGGTGTCTGTGGTGAAGCGGTTAGGAACTTATCTGTCGAAGGCAGGAGACTTGAAATCGACCCCCCAATTGGGGAGAATTTCTATCGAGTATCTCGGTCTTTATGTTAGGATGTTGTATCCCTCTCAGCTCGGGTTGGCCCTGACAGGCAGGGTCGGAATCTTTCCCCCTGAAATAGTCTACATTGTGTCGAACGGGGCGTAAAAAGGACCGATATATATATTAGAAGAAAGACAATTAGTCGCTACCTCAGAAATTATAAACTTCTATCTGACGTTTTCGGCTGTTTTTAGTTTTTTAGACCATGGTGTCAAAAAAAATTTCTATCTGTTTTACCAAAAATCGTAATATTGTTCAGAGTCGTTATCAAGATATTCAAGGATTTGCATTCGAACAAGGCAAGAGGGTGACCGAGAAAGACCTGGATAGATGGAGTCAGAGAAACATTAACCACCCACGGCATCCCCCTGACGACCCAGGCTCTCCGGCTGGCGACAGAGAGACGTCTCTTTCTTCCCGCGACACCTATAATAAGGGTATAAGCGGTGGATAAAAGTAAAGTAACGTAAGCATTCGTAAAAGCTTGACATGTTGGGAAACTTTGACGTCAAATTTCTCAAAACTAGGCACTGTGCAGATAGAACTTTGTAGTTCTAAGGTAACAACGAGTGTATCAAGCGTAATGCTACCTGAGAATGACAAAGTTCTATCTGCTCATTCCCTTTTTTTTTGGGGGGGGGGGAGAAATTTGACGTAAAGAATTTTGAGTTTCACACCAAGTCAAGCTTCTCCTAATGCAATTCTTTGAATGTGTTGATATCGACTCCGAATGCTATTATGATTTTAATAGAGCATAATATAGAGCATTTGGTTTTTGATCCCATGTTCTAAGTACTCAAAACGGGCCAAAAAAGTCAGATAGAACTTTGTAGTTCTGAGGCAGCGATAAATGAGCACTAAGTACCAACAGCAGGGAACAGGTACCTGGGTGTCGTTTGCCGGGAGGAAGATGTTGAGGAAGAGACAGTCCTCGCTCTGTGGGCTCCCGATGTCCACTCCTGACGGCTGGATACACGCGGGCCCGGGGCTGCCTGCGTCATACTCCTGGCTGGCCTGTGGACACATGCAGTGAGCTTTGTGGACACATGCAGTGGGATTTGTGAACAGATGGTTTGTATTTGTGAATAGATGGTCTGTATTAGTGAACAGAAGGTCTGTATTTGTGAATAGATGGTTTGTATTTGTGAACAGAAGGTCTGTATTTGTGAACAGAGGGTCTGTATTTGAGAACAGATGGTCTGTATTTGTGAACAGATGGTCTGCATTTGTGAACAGATGGTTTGTATCTGTGAACAGATGGTTTGTATAATTGTGGACATATATTTGTATTTGTGAACAGATGGTTTGTATTTGTGAACAACTATTTTGTGAACATGTTTTGTGAACAGATAACATGTATTTCGTACTTTGTGAACATAGATTTTGAGAACAAATATTTTGCATTTTTTTCAACAAATATTTTGCATATTGTGAACAGACATTTTGCATTTTGTGAACATATATTTTGTGAACATATATTCTGTGGACAGATACTTTGTATTTCGAGGAAAATTGTGTAAACAGATGTTGTCTCATGTGGATTATTACAACAGAACAGACGGCGTGATGTCAAGTTCTCCCACAACCCCACAACGACGAAACAGTAACAGTTGGCCAGCGATGATGTCCGTGAGTGGCGTCGATGGCCTCTGGCCTAGTGTTTAGGCTAACAGCCTCATCATCGTGAGATTGCAGGTTCGTAGGTTCGAGCCTCAGCTCGGTCCGACGTTGTGTCCTAGGGAAAGCCACTTAACACGAATTTCCCATTTGGCTCAGTCCTTTTGGAGATGGACGTTAAACTCGGGGGACCGCCTCTTAAATATCCTAACAGTGTTGATAGGGGCGTGAAACCTATATACCATTTTTCACAACGGGTGAGTCGGGGACAAAAATAATAAGACAAATCTACCACACCAACACGACAGCACCGTGTAGTTGTGCTTCTCGTGTGTTCGTCCTCCACAGTTCTCCGATATAACTGTTGGTCCACTGTTTCGTCATACTACAGTACCAGGCTTACTGCGCGCTCAAAGAACAAAGGTTTCGCGACGTGGTGGGATCAGGCGCCCGATCGTCAGTTTTGGGGCATTTGGAGTAATTGGTATAATATAAAAGCGTGTCCCTTTGCCTTGCCTTCGATTTAAAAAATGATCATCTAACTTAAATAGAAGTCGATCTATCTGCGATTGATGAAGTCAAGGGCCGACTGGTTTCAGAGATAAAATTGTCAAGAAAATGGCCGCCAAAGTTTGGTGAGTGGCGTCGGTAGCCTAGTGGTTAGGCTACCGGACTCGTAATCGTGAGATTGCAGGTTCGGGGGTGCGAGCCTCAGCTCGGTCCGACGTTGTGTTCTTGGGAAAGGCACTTTACACGATTTTCCCACTTGGCTCGGTCCTATCGGAGACGGACGTTAAATTAGGAGGTCCCGCCTCTTAAATAACCTAATAGTGTTGATAGGGCATTAAACTCATACCATTTCACCATTTTCACCAGTTTGGTGACTTCCATAGCTTGAGAGTCCTGGGAGACTGCATATTTACATTTTTGGTGCCTTTAACTGTAATCGATGTTTTTCAGAAAAATCTCAACAGATGAGAGAAGGACATAAAAGGTGTTTAGGAAAAAAAACGAAGAAAAATTCAATCAAAATTGTCAACCCAGCGGGGAAAAAAGCCGTTTACTTCCATATCATCAAGCTGACGAGCGCCTGATTTCACCACGATTTAAAATATATTATTTTACGCTGGCGCCCGTCCCCGTCTGTCCTCGTCCTACCATCAGACGGACTGACATATTTACTTCTAATATCTCAATCTGTGGCGTCAGTGGTCTAGTGTTTAGGCTACGGGACTTGTAACAGTGGGGTTGCGAGTCCGAGGATTCGAACCTCTAGCCGACGTTGTTTCCATGAGAAAGGCAGTTTACGCGATTTTTTCCCATCACCCATGTGAGTGAATTTGGGTACCCGGCCACAGATAGCGAAAGATCTTGTCAGTAAGTTAGTGGCTTAGCCCCTATAAAATAGTAGCTTGCACTGTATGCTTCCCAGGACGTTGAGATTGTTTCAGAATGCTATCAGGTCTGCTGGGGGTAATAATATCGGATTGTAATGCGCATTGTGCTTGCTGTTGAGCGGGAATTTGAGATATACAAATGCTATCTATTATTGTCTTTTATTACTACCGTAGTGTTCAGACTCAATGCCCGCGTCACACTTGGACTGGAGTTGACGAGAGTCTTGTCTTGTTGGTTTTACGGCGCCGTAAAACTCCTTCCGTCAAGTCTCGTGTAATGTAGGGCAAGTTCTGCCAGGCTAAATTTCTTCGAACATATTTTTCGCAGAAATGGTTAAATCTGATATTACATCTGAACTCCTGATCAAATTTTGCTGTGAAACCAAGCCATATATAATAGAATTTG